CTCTCTCCTCTATCTCTCACTCTCTCTTTCGCTCTTTCTCTATCCCCTCTCTCTCCCACTCACTCTCTCTCTCTCTCTCTCTCTCAGGTGTTATGGTTCTATACTACACCCGCAGAAGAGAAAATGGATTCAGTTTAACTGATTTTGTAATTTATAAAATCGCAGCCACACACATTTTTTTGGGGGGTGGGTTGTTACCAATGTGTGACACACACAAGCTTAACCCTTTGAGCTCTGACCACCGCTTTACCGGTGGTAGAGAAAAATGGCCTAATGCCCAATCACCGGTTGAACGGTGGATAAACACTTGTAACTATTTTTATATCTACCGTGAAATATTACATACCAATTATTTGCGAATTTTGACTCAGGAGCTCAGGAAGAAGGGTTAAAATTGTTCAGGACCACAGGGCTTAAAGGGTTAAGCCTTTCAGACAGCGAAACTATTTGTATGAGTTGACTTAGTGAAAACAAAACAGATTACCATTTATTTTGAAAACACGTTTCTCCTTCATGGTCTGTCGAATACAAATAACATTCTCAGAGTAGCTTTTGTGCAAATAATTATAGATGACATTTCAAAGAAATAGATGTACCTAAAATCTTTGTTTTAAACTTCATTGTTTTGGAGTCTGTACAATAAAGAAATAATATAAACAGAATTTAGCCATATTGTAATTTTTCATTAATAGACGCAACGCCTTTGAGCATTACAGTTTGTCTAGCACTTCTTCAAATCATGGACTGCGTTCTCTTGCATCAACTTTTAGCTGTGAGACGTTACACGGCTTTTAATGAACAGGCGAACCACATTCTAGCTTCATTTTTTAAAACGAATTATTGCTGCGTAGGATTTTTCTCGTTCTAAATCGTTCTGTTTTTATTTCGTCATGATATTGTTGCGATTGTGTCAGCATTATTACACGGTATCCGCCTATTTCTACAAGATATAAAAATTGACATGTTGACAAAGCAAATTAAATGTTTAAGTTCAAAAGATATATAGACAACCACGAGTAAATTATAGTGGCCCATTTATTTGTTCGTTCACGAGTAAAACCATTGCTTAGAATTGACAATTTGAGGATATGCAGAGAAAAGTTCCCAGTTAAATACAAATTCAAGTCTTCTATAATAAGGTTAATTAAATTATTTTGCATTCATTTTTACCAATATTTCTTTCATCTTATTTCTCTTGCTTTTCATTGAAACTAACACACATAGGAATATAGCTATATGGCTAAATTTGAATGACTCCTGCTGGTTAGCCTTCTTAGATGAAACATTGTCAATTATTATTCATTTTTTACTAGTATTTCTTTCATCTTCCTTTCTCTTGCTTTTTATTGCAACTGCCATCCATAAGAAGTAGAAGTAGAGAATATAGCTATATGGCTAAATTTGAATGACTCCTGCTGGTTAGCCTTCTTAGATGAAGCATTGTCAATTATTATTCATTTTCACTAGTATTTCTTTCATCTTCATTTCTCTTGCTTTTTTATTGCAACTGCCATCCATAAGAAGTAGAAGTAGAGAATATAGCTATATGGCTAAATTTGAATGACTTCTGCTGGTTAGCCTTCTAAGATGAAGCATTGTCAATTATTATTCATTTTTTCACTAGTATTTCTTTTCATCTTCTTTTTTTCTCTTGCTTTTTATTGCAACTGCCATCCATGAAGCAAGTAGAAATTTTTCACTAGAATATAGCTTATATTTCTCTTGCTTTTTAAATTTGAATGACTCTATATGGTGGTTAGCCTTCTTAGATGAAGCATTGTCAATTATTCATTTTCATTAGTATTTCTTTCATCTTCATTTCTCTTGCTTTTTTATTGCAACTCCCATCCATAAGAAGTAGAAGTAGAGAAATAGCTATATGGCTAAATTTGAATGACTCCTGCTGGTTAGCCTTCTTAGATGAAGCATTGTCAATTAGTATTCATTTTTCACTAGTATTTCTTTCATCTTCATTTCTCTTGCTTTTTTATTGCAACTCCCATCCATAAGAAGTAGAAGTAGAGAATATAGCTATATGGCTAAATTTGAATGACTTCTGCTGGTTAGCCTTCTAAGATGAAGCATTGTCAATTATTATTCATTTTTCACTAGTATTTCTTTCATCTTCATTTCTCTTGCTTTTTATTGCAACTCCCATCCATAAGAAGTAGAAGTAGAGAATATAGCTATATGGCTAAATTTAAATGACTTCTGCTGGTTAGCCTTCTTAGATGAAGCATTGTCAATTATTATTAATTTTTCACTAGTATTTCTTTCATCTTCATTTCTCTTGCTTTTATTGCAACTCCATCCATAAGAAGTAGAAGTAGAGAATATAGCTATATGGCTAAATTTGAATGACTCCTGCTGGTTAGCCTTCTTAGATGAAGCATTGTCAATTATTATTCATTTTTCACTAGTATTTCTTTCATCTTCATTTCTCTTGCTTTTTATTGCAATTGCCATCCATAAGAAGTAGAAGTAGAGAATATAGCTATATGGCTAAATTTGAATGACTCCTGGTGGTTAGCCTTCTAAGATGAAGCATTGTCAATTATTATTCATTTTTCACTAGTATTTCTTTCATCTTCATTTCTCCTGCTTTTTATTGCAACTGCCATCCATCAGATGTAGAAGTAGAGAATATAGCTATATGGCTAAATTTGAATGACTCCTGGTGGTTAGCCTTCTTAGATGAAGCATTGTCAATTATTATTCATTTTTCACTAGTATTTCTTTCATCTTCATTTCTCTTGCTTTTTATTGCAACTGCCATCCATAAGAAGTAGAAGTAGAGAATATAGCTATATGGCTAAATTTAAATGACTTCTGCTGGTTAGCCTTCTTAGATGAAGCATTGTCAATTATTATTAATTTTTCACTAGTATTTCTTTCATCTTCATTTCTCTTGCTTTTTATTGCAACTCCCATCCATAAGAAGTAGAAGTAGAGAATATAGCTATATGGCTAAATTTGAATGACTCCTGCTGGTTAGCCTTCTTAGATGAAGCATTGTCAATTATTATTCATTTTTCACTAGTATTTCTTTCATCTTCATTTCTCTTGCTTTTTATTGCAACTGCCATCCATAAGAAGTAGAAGTAGAGAATATAGCTATATGGCTAAATTTTAATGACTTCTGCTGGTTAGCCTTCTTAGATGAAGCATTGCCAATTATTATTAATTTTTCACTAGTATTTCTTTCATCTTCATTTCTCTTGCTTTTTATTGCAACTCCCATCCATCTTTCTTGTTCTTACACGATGAGAAGAGTAGCAGCTGATGGCTTGCACACAAGTCAATATCTGATCAGTATCGACTGGGTCACCACGAAGAAGAGGTATGCTGTTTTAACACCTGAACCCCTGATGATCCTTGGCTAAAAACATCCCGGATGATGTGTGCCAGAGCATTGAACAGGTGTACGAATAAATAAGCTCATTGCGAGTTTCATGACAGCAAAAGATATTTCCCTATTCCCTATAGCATCGTTATATATTTGAGCTTAACAAATATCACAATAGTAACAAATTTCACAATAGTAACAAATTGAGATTAACAAATATCACAATAGTAACAAATTGAGCGTTACAAATATCACATTAGTAACAAATATCACAATAATAACAAATATCACAATAGTAACAAACTGAGATTAACAAATATCACAATAGTAACAAATATCACAATAGTAACAAATATCACAATAGTAACAATATCGAAATAGTAATAAATTGAGCGTTACAAATATCATATTAGTAACAAATTTCACAATAGTAACAAATTGAGATTAACAAATATCACAATAGTAACAAATATCACAATAGTAACAAATTGAGCGTTACAAATATCACAATAGTAACAAATATCACAATAGTAACAATATCACAATAGTAACAAATTGAGCGTTACAAATGTCATATTAGTAACAAATATCACAATAGTAACAAATATCACTATAGTAACAAATTGAGATTAACAAATATCACAATAGTAACAAATATCACAATAGTAACAAATTGAGCTTCAAAAATATCACATTAGTAACAAATATCACAATAGTAACAATATCACAAGAAGTACCAAATATCACAATAATAACAAATTGAGATTAACAAATATCACAATAGTAATCATAAGTATGAATGCTGGTCATTATTTAAAGAAGTAAGAGGGTACAAATGAAAAGATACTTAATTGACAACTTTTTTCATTGTAATATTCATATTCCATTGAACTGTATTGCTTCTCTATTTCTTTCTTCTACTGAAACCAAACAGTAACTCTGATATGTATTTCCGGCTTTCATCGCGATCAAAATGGAATAGCCTATTATGTATTATGTCATAACGCACTAACTAACCGAGGAACACGCAAAATTATTATTATGATAATTATTATTATGATAATTATTATTATGATAATTATTATTATGATAATTATTATTATCTACTTCAATATAATTTTTACATCATTATAATTTCTAGTGAGAAAACAAGAGTTCCCTGTTCGTGCCCTGCAGTTGGCTACATTTTCATTGATCCGAAGATAAATATCATTTTTTGGATGGCTTCAGGGATAACCTGGCTCCAGGCACAACGGAAATAGAGACAGATTAATTGATAGACAGGCAAATGGGTGTTTTCAGTCAGATAATGTTTAACTCAATGACTGCTACTTCAATTCTCCTCCCACGCAAGAGAGCTTTATCACATTTATATATTTAAAAGCCAGAATATGAAACACTTATCTTTATTGGCTTACTGGGCTCAAATCAATTAATCAAGCAGAGTTTTTCATTAATGGCATTTTGTCTTCTTCTTTTGCGCAAACACAATGTGACTTGATATATGAATGCTTACGCCTATATGACATTAAAACACTGATTCCCGTAGGATCACTGATGTTAAGCATCGTCAAAACTGTTCAGTATCTAGATGGATGGCCGCTTGAGATTTACCAAGTGCTGAAAGCTTGGGCGTGTAGGTGCTATAAAGGGCTTTCGGCCATATCAGGTTGAAACACCGGTTGCCTTATGATCACTGAAGTTAAGCAGTATCGAGCCTGGTCAGTATCTAGATGGATAACCATTTGTGAATAGAGGGTTCAGTAACCTTGGATATGTGGGTGCTATTAAAGGCTTTCGGTCATATCAAATTGAAACATTGGTTCCTGTGAGATCACCGAAGTCAAGCAGCGTCAAACCTGATCAGTACCTAGATGGGTGACCGATTGGGAATACCTGGTACTGTAAGCTTGGACGTGGGAATGCTATAAAGGACATTGGGTGACCGATTGGGAATACTATCGTCAGATCACCGTTCATTTAAGCAACGTCGAGCCTAGTCATACCTAGATGGGCATTCGATTGGGAATACCATTGAAACATCACCGTTCATTTAAGCAACATCGAAACTGGTCAGTACCTAGATGGGTGACCGATTGGGAATACCATCGTCAGATCACCGTTCATTTAAGCAACGTCGGCCTAGTCATGGGGAATGGGTGACCGATTGGGAATTCATCGTCTGATCATCGTTCATTTAAACGTCGGTTTGCATACGTCGAATACCATTGTCAGAACTGGTCAGTACCTAGATGGGTGACCGATTGGGAATACCATCGTCAGATCACCGTTCATTTAAGCTAACGTCGCAGCCTAGTCAGTACCAGATGGGTGACCGATTGGAATACCATCGTCAGATCACCGTTCATTTAAGCAACGTCGAGCCTAGTCAGTACCAAGATGGGTGACCGATTGGGAATACTATCGTCAGATCACCGTTCATTTAAGCAACGTCGAGCCTAAAGGGTACCAAGATGGGTGACCGATTGGGAAACACCATTCAGATCACCGTTCATTTAAGCAACGTCGAGCCTAGTCAGTACCTAGATGGGTGACCGATTGGGAATACTATCGTCAGATCACCGTTCATTTAAGCAACGTCGAGCCTAGGGTACCAAGATGGGTGACCGATTGGGAATACTATCGTCAGATCACCGTTCATTTAAGCAACGTCGAGCCTGGTCAGTACCTAGATGGGTGACCGATTGGGAATACCTCGTCAGATCACCGTTCATTTAAGCAACGTCGAGCCTAGTCAGTACCTAGATGGGTGACCGATTGGGAATACCATTTTCAGATCACCGTTCGTTTTAAGAAACGTCGACACCTAGTCAGTACCTAGATGGGTGACCGATTGGGAATACCATCGTCAGATCACCGTTCATTTAAGCTACGTCGAGCGTAGTCAGTACCTAGATGGGTGACCGATTGGGAATACCATCGTCAGATCACCGTTTGTTTAAGCAAATTCGAACCTAGTCAGTACCTAGATGGGTGACCGATTGGGAATACCATCGTCAGATCACCGTTCATTTAAGCAAATCGAGCCTAGTCAGGCGTTAGATGGGTGACCGATTGGGAATACCATCGTCAGATCACCGTTCATTTAAGCTACGTCGAGCGTAGTCAGTACCTAGATGGGTGACGGATTGGGAATACCATCGTCAGATCACCGTTCATTTAAGCAACGTCGAGCCTAGTCAGTACATTCAGATGGGTGACCGATTGGGAATACCATCGTCAGATCACCGTTCATTTAAGCAACGTCGAGCCTAGTCAGTACCAAGATGGGTGACCGATTGGGAATACTATCGTCAGATCACCGTTCATTTAAGCAACGTCGAGCCTAGTCAGTACCTAGATGGGTGACCGATTGGGAATACCATCGTCAGATCACCGTTCATTTAAGCAACGTCGAGCCTAGTCAGTACCTAGATGGGTGACCGATTGGGAATACTATCGTCAGAACTGTTTGGCAACGTCGAATGCTATAAAGGACATTACCTAGATTGACCGATTGGGAATACTATCGTCAGATCACCGTTCATTTAACCAAGATCGAGCTTGGTCAGTACCAAGATGGGTGACCGATTGGGAATACCATCGTCAGATCACCGTTCATTTAAGCAACGTCGAGGTTAGTCAGTACCTAGATGGGTGACCGACTGGGAATACCATTGTCAGATCACCGTTCGTTTAAGCAACGTCGAACCTAGACAGTACCTAGATGGGTGACCGATTGGGAATACCATTGTCAGATCACCGTTCGTTTAAGCAACGTCGAGCCTAGTCAGTACCAAGATGGGTGACCGATTGGGAATACCATCGTCAGATCACCGTTCATTTAAGCAACGTCGAGCCTAGTCAGTACCTAGATGGGTGACCGATTGGGAATACCATCGTCAGATCACCGTTCATTTAAGCAACGTCGAGCCTAGTCAGTACCAAGATGGGTGACCGATTGGGAATACCATCGTCAGATCACCGTTCATTTAAGCAACGTCGAGCCTAGTCAGTACCTAGATGGGTGACCGATTGGGAATACCATCGTCAGATCACCGTTCATTTAAGCAACGTCGAGCCTAGTCAGTACATTCAGATGGGTGACCGATTGGGAATACCATCGTCAGATCACCGTTCATTTAAGCAACGTCGAAGCCTAGTCAGTACCTAGATGGGTGACCGATTGGGAATACCATCGTCAGATCACCGTTCATTTAAGCAACGTCGAGCCTAGTCAGTATAGATGGGTGACCGATTGGGAATATCATCGTCAGATCACCGTTCATTTAAGCAACGTCGAGCCTAGTCAGTACCTAGATGGGTGACCGATTGGGAATACCATCGTCAGATCACCGTTCATTTAAGCATGGACCTAGTCAATACTATAGATGGGTGACCGATTGGGAATACTATCGTCAGATCACCGTTCGATAAAGCAACGTCGAGCCTAGTCAGTACCTAGATGGGTGACCGATTGGGAATACCATCGTCAGATCACCGTTCATTTAAGCAACGTCGACCTAGTCAGTACCTATAATGGGTGACCGATTGGGTCATATCGTCAGATCACCGTTCATTTAAAGCAACGTCGAGCCTAGTCAGTACCTAGATGGGTGACCGATTGGGAATACCATCGTCAGATCACCGTTCATTTAAGCAACGTCGAGCCTAGTCATTACCTAGATGGGTGACCGATTGGGAATACCATCGTCAGATCACCGTTCATTTAAGCAACGTCGAGCCTAGTCAGTACCTAGATGGGTGACCGACTGGGAATACTATTGTCAGATCACCGTTCATTTAAGCAACGTCGGGCCTAGTCAGTACCAAGATGGGTGACCGATTGGGAATACTATCGTCAGATCACCGTTCATTTAAGCAACGTCGAGCCTAGTCAGTACCTAGATGGGTGACCGATTGGGAATACTATCGTCAGATCACCGTTCATTTAAGCAACGTCGAGCCTAGTCAGTACCTAGATGGGTGACCGATTGGGAATACTATCGTCAGATCACCGTTCATTTAAGCAACGTCGAGCCTAGTCAGTACCAAGATGGGTGACCGATTGGGAATACTATCGTCAGATCACCGTTCATTTAAGCAACGTCGAGCCTAGTCAGTACCTAGATGGGTGACCGATTGGGAATACCATCGTCAGATCACCGTTCGTTTAAGCAAGGTCGAACCTAGACAGTACCTAGATGGGTGGCCGATTGGGAATACTATCGTCAGATCACCGTTCATTTAAGCAACGTCGAGCCTAGTCAGTACCAAGATGGGTGACCGATTGGGAATACCATCGTCAGATCACCGTTCATTTAAGCAACGTCGAGCCTAGTCAGTACCTAGATGGGTGGCCGATTGGGAATACTATCGTCAGATCACCGTTCATTTAAGCAACGTCGAGCCTAGTCAGTACCAAGATGGGTGACCGATTGGGAATACCATCGTCAGATCACCGTTCATTTAAGCAACGTCGAGCCTAGTCAGTACCTAGATGGGTGACCGATTGGGAATACTATCGTCAGATCACCGTTCATTTAAGCAACGTCGAGCCTAGTCAGTACCAAGATGGGTGACCGATTGGGAATACTATCGTCAGATCACCGTTCATTTAAGCAACGTCGAGCCTAGTCAGTACCTAGATGGGTGACCGATTGGGAATACCATTGTCAGATCACCGTTCGTTTAAGCAACGTCGAACCTAGAAGTCACGTACTATAAGATGGGTGACCGATTGGGGAATATCTATCGTCAGATCACCGTTCGTTTAAGCAACGTCGAACCTAGACAGTACCTAGATGGGTGACCAATTGGGAATACCATTGTCAGATCACCGTTCATTTAAGCAACGTCGAGCCTAGTCTGTACCAAGATGGGTGACCGATTGGGAATACTATCGTCAGATCACCGTTCGTTTAATCAACGTCGAACCTAGTCAGTACCTAGATGGGTGACCGATTGGGAATACCATTGTCAGATCACCGTTCGTTTAATCAACGTCGAACCTATACAGTACCTAGATGGTTGACCGATTGGGAATACTATCGTCAGATCACCGTTCATTTAAGCAACGTCGAGCCTATTCAGTACCTAGATTGGTGGCCGATTGGGAATACTATCGTCAGATCACCGTTCATTTAAGCAACGTCGAGCCTAGTTAAGATGGGTGACCGATTGGGAATACTATCGTCAGATCACCGTTCATTTTAAGCAACGTCGAGCCTGGTCAGTACCTAGATGGGTGACCGATTGGGAATACTATCGTCAGATCACCGTTCATTTAAGCAACGTCGAGCCTAGTCAGTACCTAGATGGGTGACCGATTGGGAATACTATCGTCAGATCACCGTTCATTTAAGCAACGTCGAGCCTAGTCAGTACCTAGATGGGTGACCGATTGGGAATACCATCGTCAGATCACCGTTCGTTTAAGCAACGTCGAACCTAGACAGTACCTAGATGGGTGACCGATTGGGTCATATCGTCAGATCACCGTTCATTTAAGCAACGTCGAGCCTAGTCAGTACCTAGATGGGTGACCGATTGGGAATACCATTGTCAGATCACCGTTCATTTAAGCAACGTCGAACCCTATACAGTACCAGATGGGTGACCGATTGGGAATACCATCGTCAGATCACCGTTCATTTAAGCAACGTCGAGCCTAGTCAGTACCAAGATGGGTGACCGATTGGGAATACTATCGTCAGATCACCGTTCATTTAAGCAACGTCGAGCCTAGTCAGTACCAAGATGGGTGACCGATTGGGAATACTATCGTCAGATCACCGTTCATTTAAGCAACGTCGAGCCTAGTCAGTACCTAGATGGGTGACCGATTTTGGAAATACCTATCGTCAGATCACCGTTCGAATTTAAGCAACGTCGAGCCTAGTAGTACCT